ATTTTAAAAAAGCGTTCTTCCAAAATTCATTCAAAAACTTGCTAGTTTAACTTTGATTTTTTAAAACTCAAGTAGGGTAACTCTGTTTGCTAAAGGTGCGCTTTTGCGAAGAGGGCGCCACCGAATTTTGAGGACACTTTTTTAATTGGCTCAAAGAGAGAAGTGGCCCATCTTGTTATGTAGACTCTTTAATAGTAGTTAACGTCCATATCAAGTACTAAGTGTTCTACAATAAGCCATTTTGACAAATGAGGAATGACAGAGTCTTAAAGAGAGCAGTCAGTATAATTCATTTCAGCCTTGGTAAGAGCCTGGTAAGAGGTCCTGGTTCCCTTTCATGAGGCAAGTATGCAGGACAAAACTTTTTCAGGAATAAGTTCACGTCTGGGCCTCTAAATAGAGGGAAAACTGAAAGACAGCATAATTAATATAACAATATGTACTCGTGTCAGAGTTGGATTGACTGGGGGAGTGCAGGTTGCAGTAAAGCTGAAACTCTCATAGTCTTGAAAATAGCTGACACATAACTCTAATCATCCATACAAAAAGCCTGGGTTTTCATATAGTAACAACGTTTGACTTCCATCACATATACACTCAAGGCACCCCCCCCCCCCCCCCCCGAAAAAAAGATCGCGTCAAGGTAGTTCATTTTTTTTTTTTAAATTCCTTTCCACTCAATTAGTACTTGTATCACGGAATGCACTTTAAGCCCAAGTGTAAAAAATATACACCCCCCCTCCCCCGGTCGTCCACACCGTTTAAGTCCCAAAAAACACCTCAACCAATGCGACCGTTGTGAATGAACTTTGTTGATCCCGACAACCGACGGTCCCCGACACACGCGCTACTCACACGTTCGAGGTCATGTCACGTCATGCGAACGAGCATTTGAAAGTTCCACTGACAGGTCTTGTATCAGACGAAGCTTGCTTTTAAACCAACGGCAGAACAACGAATAGATTATTCTTAGGCCCATGTCATAATTGTTACAGTAATCAGGACACAGTCGGAGAATTCTGGGTTATAAAAGCGAAAGTAGATCTTGAACGTATCCAAGTCAGAATTCAAAATCAATACTACATCGATTTTAGTTGAAATAACGTGCGTGAGTCATATACTACATTCAGCATAGATAGTGTTCCAAATTCCTGCCGATAAAAAGTTCAATCGCTGCTTCCAAGCAAATGAGATTGCAGAACTTTTTATATTTTGAAATCAGGAAAATCTGGATGCTTGAGATTTGGGGCAAAAAATCAGGATATCCCGATTAAATCGGGATGAGTGGCAGGTCTGGTGTGTGTGCACGCATGCGTGTGTATCTACCAGGCCACAGCAGATTTCTCTTTGTGGGAAAAAATAAACCGTTATGATATCTTATGAGATAACTGACAGTCAAACAGACTGATAGTCAAACAGACTGACACCCCTGACTGTTGCAGCAGAGCTGTCACTTTCCTGACAAACTGTGGTCATGGATGCAAGTGAAAAATCTCAAAAAGCCTGCAGACAACCTGCAAAATCTCAAAAAGCCTGCGACAAAATATACAAAGCTTAGCCACAATACGAAGCTTCACTTCACGTCATGGAAAGGACGTGTTCGTACTTCACGTTGATCGCATATAAATTTTCAACAATTGCCAGTAACATTACACGAAGCGATGACGCAACAACGGGAGCCCAATCGGCCGGCGCCGACCGACCTGCCTGTGATCTCAATAAGCCGGCATGCCGGCGGCAGCCAGCAGTCTTGCATCCATGACAGCGGTACACTTACTCTGTCTGCCCTCTTTGTGGCTGCCGTGCGTAGAAGACGAGTGGTCGCTTGGACAACTTTGTTCGTGCTCTGCGAAGTTTCATGACTGAGGAAATACGAGACAATACGAGGGAAGGTTGTTTTTTGTTTTAGTAGAGGTTTTACGGTGCTCGCAACTGCATAAGGTCTTATGAGTGCCAGAAGATTAAAGGTGTTACAAGAGAGTAACAAACATAAAAAAAGAAGGAGGAGAGATAAGGACCATAGATGTTTGATAAGAAAGAAGGAGCAAACTACACCAGAGCATCCGCCAACCACCCACTGGGAATGTTGGAGGAAATAGGAGACAATATATGTTGGAGGAAATAGGAGAAAATATGAGGGAATGTTGGAGGAAATAGGAGACAATATGAGGGAATGTTATAGGAAATAGGAGACAATATGAGGGATTGTAGGAGGAAATAGGAGACAATATATGTTGGAGGAAATAGAAGACAATATATGTTGGAGGAAATACAAGACAATACGAGGGAATGTTGAATCAATCTCTACGAACATTACCCACTTGTTGATATGTGTACATTCTTCGTGTTTCGTACCATTTCCGATTAATGTTTTTTGTAACCACTGAATTCAGCACGATATTAAAGGACTGGTGAGCCGCCAAAAGTGCAAGTCGAGTCTGTTTTTCTTTGTATGCATGTTGAACCTAACGGCATACACGCTTACAAACACTACTACAACAAACCTGTTCTGACAGACACCTGTACAAGACAGACACCTGTCCAAGACAGTCACCTGTACAAGACAGCCACCTGTCCAAGACAGTCACCTGTACAATACACGACTGTTTCCTACTTCTCTCTTCAGGTTTTTTCTTTTTTTTCAAAATTATAATTATAATGACATCCTCCAAGACATCCGTCTGTCTGCAACAATCAATTTTCTGCTCAACAATGGGTGGCTGTCTCAGACAATTTCAACAGTACAATTGTGGACAATTTCAACTGTATAATTGTGGACATTTTCAACTGTATAATTGTGGACAATTTCAACTGTATAATTGTGGACAATTTCAACTGTATAATGGTGGATAATTTCAACTGTATAATTGTGGATAATTTCGCCAGTGTCAATACACAAAATGAAAAGATCACGTTGGATCATACAACCCGAAAGATTTTTAAAAACTTTGAACTATGGGTCAGTTTAGTTTTAGAAAGTTTTTCGGCACTTGCAACACAATATTATAAGGTCATATAAGTGCCGAAGATTAGAGGTGTTACAAGAGGGTAACAAACACAAAAAAAAAGGAGGGGAGATAAAGACGATAGATGTTTGATAGGAAAGAAGAAGCAAACCACACGAGAGTACCCGCCAACTACCCACAAAAAAACTTTGAATTATGTGTCAAAGGTCACAGGAATCAAGACAGAATCTAAAAATGCCAGTTTCTTCACTTTCATTATTTTGACGAGCTCCTGATTTCAATACGCTGCCTCACATATTTAATATGTCAGGCTTTACCCCATATGTAACTCACATTTTGTCTCGTAGCTGTGTGTTGTCCCTGGGAGTGCCCAGCGTTTTCATGGTGCGCTCCAACACATTGGCTGACAACCGGAAAGAAAAGCAAGTATTTCAGATCACCAAAGCAAGAATTTCTTTAAAAATACATTAAAAAGATCTACCTGGAACAGAAGATTAAACAAAATTAAATCATTATCTTCATGAGAAATGGTCCAAATGACTAAACACGTCAGGCCATACACAAAATATACATCTAGCATAGGAAGGAAAATCAACACTATACTGTATAACTTTCATACATTGTACATCCAAGATAAAATATAAAGACGTTTAAAAATTCTCAAATAAACATTATACAAGTATAATTTTACTCTTACCTTAACAATGAATGAGCAAAAAAAACATGCAACGGAGTCCACATAAAACCAAACATCATTAATCTAAAAACAGGAGTAGCAAACCAAAATATAAAATACAATCCCCCATTTTTTTCTTATTTCAGCAACCTTTCTGAGCTGAAAACTCGTCTAAAAAAAGAGAAACCAGACAGCCCCGCAGATTTCAGATAAGCGACTTCCACTGTAATTTTCAACTAAACTGTAAAAAAAACCAACCAATGAGCCAACACTCAGTAAGTAAAAAATGTAATTGTTGATTGCGACAGTAAAATTTCCACAATAATGTGCTTACCGCCATTGTTGACCTTGAAGATGTTGCTGCGAATGGTCTCGGTGATCTCGCTGACGGAAGACGAGTCATCGCTGTCTCGATACTCTCGGTAGTTGGGGTCATCTCGGTACTCTCGTATGGTTCCGTAGTTCGACATGGTGGCTCTACTGTGACTGCTGAACCCAAGATTTCACTGAAAATCAGAATGATTCTTATCATGATTTACACTTCTATAGGATCATAACGAGGGTGCGGTGGCGGAGTGGTTAGTGCGCTCGTCTCCGAAGCGGAAAGTCCGGGTTCAAGCCTCGGTTCGGACACAGATTTTTTCGCCCCCTCCTGCCCACCCAGCAGTAATGGGTAACTGACTTCGAGTTGGGGAAGTAAAGGCGGCGTGGAAGGAACTGGCCACCCTACCACAATATGCCGAGGGCCCAGGAAGTTGTCTCACTAACAAGGCAATCCCCAATGTCCGGATGCGGGAACCACTTTACTTTTTATGATCATATAATTCAGATTTTTCGCGGGTCAAATGGCAACTGTTGACGGTTTTACATTTTTTTAAAGCATTACAGATAGTTTAATTAAACTTCAAAAGTTTATAAAATTTAAGTAATTTCACATTTGCCTTTTATCTCCCACCTATTGAACTAGCTAGCCTACTAATGTGTATGAGAAGCTAAGAAAACCAGCATGACCTGCAACCTTCAATGTGAACTCCATCAAAGTCAAAGGTTGTCGTTGTGGACACTTGGCCACTTTTCTTTACATTGAAAACCTTCCTGGCAACCTGGCTGGTGGGGGGGGGGAGTTTTGGTTGAGAGAGTTTGCACGTGATACGCGGGTCACATGAAAGGGAGACTGTAAGTGAGCTTCAAGCCACAGTCGGTCACTCAACCAGTCACGAACAGTCGGTCACTCAACCAGTCACGAACAGTCGGTCACAACAAAGAGAAGGTCGGGTAAGCATCGAGCCGAAAGGCAGTCACTATTATTCTTGCATGAGGGAGGGACATGGCCAATGTCAACTCGCAATACGGAAAATGAACTACTCTTGTTTCAAACAAAAATAAAAGGTCCAGTATTTGCGCTGTTGAAAAGGTAGGAGTTCATTTTTATTACATCAAGACATTCGTCTGAATATTTGTTTGTGCTGTGTTCTGTAATAGTTGTTGGGCATTTATGAGTTACCATCACCACAGCTTTCAGCATCAGCTGTTCCTTGGAGATGCTTCACTCACTAACTATACAGTCAAACCTGCCCTGACGGCCACCTCTATAAGACAGCCACCTGCACAAACGGCCAGTTTCCATTTTGCCCCTTGCGTTTTTTCAATATAATTTAACTGTGTAAAACAGGCACCTGTAAAATGAGGCCGCAACCACCATAATTTAACACACAACCCCTATCACACCAAGCAATAACACCTGTCTTAGACGGCCACCTTAGTGACTCCATTACGTTTTGCCATAAACTGTGCATTGGCCCCTGGTGTTGTATGCGAGCCATCATAATTCAATCACCTGTCCTTGTTGTTAAGTAGTCCCTCCAACCGATCATGGTGCGTAGGCCCCTCCCACTGTTGACCAATAGGTAACAAATTTTCAGCTGCTGGTGAGGTAAGCATGTAATCCCTCATAACCCATAAGCCCTACCCCAGAACTCATACACAAATCGTAAGGGAGATGAGTGGTCACTGTTTACCCAGTCAGTAACTTAACAAAGGACGTCAACATGAAATTGCAACAGAAGCGCCGCTCGTTCTCCGAGTGGTGGCGACCCACGTGTTTGTTTTACCATAGCACTCAGTCCTCCTTGTCTGACACATTTCATTTTATTGTCACCCATGCGCAAAAGCAGCAACAAAAGAAATAAAAAGAAATAAAAACACAGCGAAGACAACAACAACAACAACAACTAAGCGGCTACCTTCGGTTAGGACCTCAGAAAGGAACGGTTTGTTTTCTTCATTTTGATCAGTCCTGCCTAAGACGGCCACCTGTCTTATACGGCCACTTTTCTCATTGACAATGGGTGGCCGTCTTAAACAGGTTCGACTGTATATATTTAAGTAAAGCCTCACCGTCACATTCAACAACAAACTCTTATTATCCAATCAATACGTAATAAAGTGAAACTGAAGACTGGCAATTACAAAAATATGTACAGCACATGAAGCATCATTTTTTAGAAAATAAAAAAGTGTCTACGTACCCGGTAACCCGGCACGTAGTCTCAGTATCTACGTACACGGTAACCGGGTACTTAGTTTCGGGGGCACCTTGAGCTAGGTGCGGGGTAACTGCTTCGCCCCCCCCCCTCCCCTCCCCTCACTCATCACTGGACTGGCCAATCACAACGGTGCACCGCTGACTGCCTATTTGGAGCTCACCTACAGCCACCCTATCGCCCAACCCCCTTCCCCCAGATACAGCTCCGCTCCATCTCTCCCGCTGTGTCCACATGCGGGACTTTCCTTGCCCCGCTAAACCCAAGCATAAGAAATTAATTTTACAGAGAAAAAAAGGGGATTTCGGCAAAGTCCCGCTAGGGGGGTCAGGTGGAGTAGTCGTGCATCTAGATACACAAGGTTGTCTATTTTTATGAACTAGGATAGAGGAAAAAAAAGACAGCTGAAATGGCCATTGTCAAACCTTCCGGTTACCATCGTAGACTCTGAGACACTCCGTTAAAAATATATACTGTTGGCTAACTTGTCAGAATTTTGTTACTTTTGTAGCTTGTAGGACTAAATTCGTTTCTTTCCTGTGACTTGACAAAACTGGGAATCTCCAAATTTAACAACAATCAAGCCTAGATATCTAGATCTAGATTCTAGATCTAGATTATCTAAATATCTAGATCTCTAGATAAGTTCAAGTCAAGTGCGCAACTCATAAAAAGTGAACAAACTACACTACAAGTCTTTTATGACCTCGCTCAGTGGCAATACGCTGAAGGAAGTGGTTATTCGCACCGGGTGTGTGCATAAGAATTAATATTATTCGCACCAGGTGTGCAAATAAGAAATAATTATATTCGCACAGGGTCGACCCGACCTGCGCGCTGCGCGAGATCGTTGCGCGCTGCGAACGCTGCGCGAGATCGCTGAGCGAGATTGGCAAATGATGCGACGAGTCCGCGAAACTAGGCGGTCTTGGCCTATATAATAAGCTTACCAGCGTGGAATTTTCATTTTTCAAAACAGAGCCCAGAGAGAACCTTGCCAGTAGCGTTCTGTTGGCCCCAAGGCTATTGCATCGCAAATCTGGAATTACTCAACACCTAGTTCTAGTTTTTCTAGATCTATTCAGCATGGAAGTGGGAGTCCAAGTTCAAAAGCTTTTCAGAGTTCACAGAAGCTCTGAAAGAGTATGAAAGTACTAATAACACAAAATTTGTGGCGACACGATCCACCAAAATTGGCCAAACAGACCCCTTGAGTGCTGTTTACGTGTACCAGTCGATCGGGTTCCAGTGCAAGCAGAGGCAGCGCCACCATTATTGTATTCTTTAAATTAATAATAAACAATTATTTTTTTTAAAAGATCAAAGGTGCAAATATAAAATGCACCTTGTACAGGTTCTATCTAAATGTACACATGTGTACATTTTGGTTGACGGCAACTTGAGGGGGGGGGGGTGTCCTGGGAAAGATGACAAGAGGGGTGGGGTCTTTGTGAAAGGTCCTTAAAAGTAAAACTGCAATCATTCAGCCATAAATACTATGATGTATTACTACAGAGTTACTACATAAAGTTGATTTTCGACCTCATTTGTCACACCCAGGTATCCCATCTTAAGTTTTTGGCAAAGAGTTTTAATTTTGGAAAGCACTGGGAATAGGCCAGAATTGTTCCCAGTGTCACTGGGATGAGGCCAAGAAACTATTCCCAGTGACACTGAGAACAGACAGGCCCATTAGATATATCTAGATCTATTGTTCCCACAATGATCTACCTGGGCATGATGATGATGGGTTACTAAAAACTAGACTATACACATGTATTTTTCTTTATCTAAGTAGATCTAGATATTTACATGTACATTAGATCTAGATCTGGATTTTGGAGACTAAGGTACAGGACAGGTAAAAATCCTTCCCGATTCTCCATTTCTTCTAGAATCTAGGCTACGGTCTAGTCTTGGCCCAAAAGCAAAGAGAAGAAAAGTCTGAACTTAATTGAGAAGAGAGCCTACATAGTACACGTAAGAAACGAATCTAGAGATACCTCCACCATGTCTCCACCTCTTTTCACTGGTCTGGTAAACTTCACCTGCGCCTCTATTGTCTCTCAATAGTCTCATGGTACCTCTTAGCCTAGCCTAGGCTGGCAATGTGGGTCCACTAAAGTAAAGTTCTTGGGCAGAACAAACTATAAAATGTTCCTGGTCCACTTTTCTCTGTTTATTATTTATATTATAATTGATTTGCATGTGGCTGCCCCCTCCCCCCCCCTCCCCCCCCCCCCCCCCCCCGACTGTCGAATACTAGATCTATAAGTATCCTAATAACTTAAGTGCCGAATATGCGGTCCACCAAAAAATTTGCGTACTGCGACTATTTCAGAAACCAGGAACCTACTGGTCCATCTTCCACTTCTGGTCTCCCTCCGCTGCCTCCCCCTCAAAAGAAAAGGAGCAAAAATAAGCCTACGACATGTAGATCTAATCAAGAAAATTAGGAACCCGCTGGTCAGTCCTCCACTTCTTGTCTCCTTCCACTGCCTCTCCCTAAAAAGAAACAGCGGATGGGATCAAGTAATACTAAATATATATAATAATAGTGAGAACCCTGCGCCTGTTCCTGCGGTAAACGTCCTCATCCGATGCCTAGATATTCCGGACTTTGATCTCTTCAATGATTCGGATAACAGGTCTGTTTACAACTTTGTCTCGTCCCACCTTCTCTCTCTTTATCTCTCTCTCTCTCTCGTGGTATTCTCGCAGCCCTCACCCACTCCGCCTCGCATCGCCGGGAACTAGTTCGCATAGCGGTCGATTAGGATCCATGACTGTATAAGTATATAAAAGTCTGTTGTTTGCCTAGTGCGCATTAAGATATACAAACACGGTGGGTCCACCAAAGTTCAATCCAGACCCTATGATTATGATCTTTATTCCTTGCGCGATGAGGGGAAAAAATGAGGAAATGGTTGGCCGATTTCCCCATCCTTCTTTTGAAACACCCTGTACGAATATAACTTCATAGTATTCACTCACCCTGTGCGAATATAACTTCATAGTGTTCGCACAACCTGTGCGAATATAATTTCATAATATTCGCACACCCTAGCCCTGTGCGAATAACTACACAGCCATGGCCCATGGTCATACGCTGATAACATTATAATGGTATGGTAGATCTAAAATCTAGTGTGTAATTTTCCCAACAATCGGTACTTGAATTAGAATTAGATCTCTAGATCTAGATCTAGATCTAGAACTAGCCAGACAGGCGAACTGGACACAGGTGACAGACTCGACTAGAGGCAGGTAGAAGAGGCAGAGGTGGCGGTTGAGAAAGTTGAGGTATCCACATCAGATCGCGTCAGAAAATAAGAAGCTGACAATGTCCCCATTATAAACAATGGAAGAAAAGATAGGGATAGTTATTTTTTAAATGTTTACCTTATTGATGGCAAAATTTTGACCGTTGGACAGCTGTGGACATGTAAACTATTCGACTACCCCCATACAAAAGCGGAAGGCGTTTACTGTTGTTGTTCAGCTTTGTTACTTGTTACTAATTCATTTCGTTTCATTAAAAAAGTTGGAGTTTTTCATACTCATGTGATGTCGACGTCAAAATAAAAAGTAGGTACCGTGATCCCTACAATTCGCAGTGTTCATGTTCAATTTTAGTGATCACAATGACATTTTTAAAAATGAGTAATAGATCTATTAGTATCAGCACTGGTATCAGTAATAAAATAAGATAGGTCTAATCACTATCCCGACACTATGACTGGCCCTATTTGATGTATTTTTGAAGGGGTGGGGGTGTCTACTTATACTGATCTCGATCTAAATATATATATAGCATGTGCTGATTAAGCAATAGATGAGGACTGACAAGAGATGCTCTTATCATAAGTAAAGTTCAGCGGGTCTTCCTTTTCGAGCGTGAATGATAAAAATAATAAATTGAGAGGGTGGTAGGCAGGGCCGTTAATGAGTAGATTCTTAGTAATAAACAGATTCTTACCAAGGTCCGGTCTTTCGACCATGGTGGTAAACTCTCATTAAATTAAACTATCTTTCTCAGACTGTCTCTCGTTGAAGTACAGTTTTCGTTGTTTTACATTCCTTGATCCAGGTTGCTGCATTGTTCTCCTTTTTTTAGTACGAGTTTTACGGCATAGCCACAGAGGGAAAACTCCCTCCAGGGATAAAGAGTTAATGTGTCTTTTAAAGGTCGTAATTAGAAATTCTTGCGTGTGGTTAAAAGATACATCTGATGTGAACGTACATTTTGTCGGCTTTACTTCTCTTTTCATATTGAATTTTAATGGCAGTAGTATATAATTTAATTTTTTTTCATGCATACTTGCATGTGTTTTTAGTCCTGCACAGCCAAGAAAAATTTCCCTTGGGGATAATACAGTATTATCTTATCGTATCTTATCTTATTTACTTGGGGAATACCAATAGGCATTGCAGGCGGCACAATGCCATAGCTGCTTCTCCCTCCTCTCCAGGATCCATGAAAGGGTCTATGCAAGGAGGTTACAGTTGAGTAAGCTCCTTGGGTCCATGACATGTTTGCTGATCGTGCCAAGTTTCAGCTTGTTTGATAATTGTTCTTCTGGCTTTTCCACGCAGGTTGCTAGGGCTGTCCCTCCCTGACCTCTAGAGACATCAGCTTCTCTCAGTGTTTCTATCGGAAAATTACCATGCTATACAGAGTAGCCTGTAGGTGGTTTTTGGGGGGGGTGGTGTTACTGTTCCTGGTAGGTCCTATAATACTAAAATGTGTATTAACTCTTTAACTTAACGTCCTCAGAGGGTTAACTGCTCCTCTTTTTCTTCCCGTCTGTCTTGCTTTTTCCCGGGTAAGTGGTTGGCGGGTGTTGAGGTGTGCTTTGTTCCTTTTTTGTCATCAAAACAAAATATTGCCCTTACCTGTCCTTCTTTTCTAAGTGTGTCACTCTCTAGTATCACGTCTAATCGTCGGGGATATACATAATCATGATGTGTGTTGCGAGAGCCGTAAAACTTTTACTAAAACAGAACGATAGATGTTTGACGACAGAAAAAAGGAACAAACCACACCAAAGCACCTACCAACCACCCACAGATGGCACTTGCAACACAATTACGTCATATAAGTGTCGAATATAAGAGGGGTAACAAGAGTGTAACAAACACAAAATAGAAGGAGGGAAGATAAGGATGACAGATGTTTGATAGGAAAGAAGGAGCAGACCACACCAGAGCACCCGCCAACCACCCACGAAGATAAAAAGGTGTAACAAGAGAGTAACAAACACAAGAAAGAAGGAGGAGTAGGAGAAATAATGACAATGATGTTTGACAGAAAAGAAAGATGCTACCTACATCCTGTATTTAGAGAAGCAGCGTACAGCAAAAGCTGAGAAAAAGAAAGTATGTATTAGTAAGAGTTTTACGGCACTTGCAACACAATAAGATCATATGAATGCCAAAGACTAGAGTTAGTTTAGTTTTAGTAGAGGTTTTACGGTACTCGCAACTGCATAAGGTCTTGTGAGCGCTAGGAGATTAGAGGTGTTACAAGAGAGTAACAAACACAAAAAAGAAGTAGGGGAGATTAAGACGATATATTAATTGGACAGGAAAGAAGAAGCAAACCACACCAGAGCACCCACCAACCACCCACTGAGAAAAAGAAAGACGACAGTGAAGATTACAAAATCAAAGGAAAGAAACATATCCCCCCCCCCCCCCTTTTACAAAAACAGCAAACAACATAAAAACACAACAAACACTTTTCAAAAAAATACTTTTTTAATTGATTATATTATTATTATGATTAAGACTTATCCTATTCCAAGAGACACCACCCGATATACATATATACATTTATTGTTTCTAACTTAAGAAAAGCCTCAAGCAGGCCTTCAGACATGAACACTCCCATATATAGACATGCTTCTCCCAACATAACCCAGCACTGCACTCCAATAATAGACAAAGTAACAGACAAGTCAATAGTAATAATAATAACAATAACAATAATAATAATAATAATTAATAATAATAATAATAATTAATAATAATAATAATAATAATTAATAATAATAATAATAATAATAATAATAATAATAGTTCGTCCACCATACATTGATGATGATGATGATGATGTTTGACTTGGACTACATAAGGTCATTCATATGAGCGCCAAGGGGTGGATGACAACAGAGAAGTCCTTACAGGGAATCGCGCTTACTTTGCTCCCCTCTCTAGCCTCAACAGCACTAAGTCTGCTTCGACTATCAAGGCACCCCGGTAATAGCAGGTCACAAGACTGTGACAAACACACAGAAGAAGTAGAGGGAATTACAATAGTAAGGATTAGGAAAGAAAAAGCAGCAGTTCCCTGTTGTAGATCAGGCACAGTATGAGCATGACATGGATAAATCAGCCCATTTACAGTTCTACTGTGCATAAGGACAAGGTTCATGTCCCCCCTTTGGGAATGGCCACCCCTCTGTTATACCATACAAACACAACAACAAAATACGATATAACACCGATAGCTCAAATTCATCAGGACTGGCCTCGGCAGTTCGAAGGATCAGTAGTTTGAGAGATATCTTACAAAGATAAAGAAGAACCCCCCCCCCCCCCCCCCCCCCCCAAAACAAAAAAAACAGGACAGCAGGCACAGTCCGACGGACGCGTGATTTCAAGCCTTCTGTGTTCCATCTGTCCGTGCTATACTGCACATGATGATCATGATGTAAATTAAGCAACATCTTAGAAAATTCTTGACTCCAGACATTCCCAGACAAAAAAGACAACCCTGACTATCCCACCCCGCCCATCATAATTGTTACGATGAAAGGCAAGAATAAATTACGCGCTCTCCAACCATGAACTACACGGTATTCTTCACAAAACACGCAAATCAAAAGGGCACAGCGCACGCACAATACGTGTATTACACAGTAAAATGAGACAAGGGACAGATACGCAGAAAAAACAACAACCAACAAATGTGCCAGATTGTCTATACCAGTATTATTTATGGTTCCTAACGTCCCTCGCAAGTACGCTTATAAGCAAGATAATTATGCACATACGAATGAAAAGGAGGTAAAAGGCAAAGCATATTTCGGGAGGGGGGGGAGGGGAAGGGGTTGCATGCAGTAAACAAGGGGGAAAAAACGAGCAAAAAGAGAAAACAGACTGTCGACAAAGAATGCACACAGGAGACCTCTATAATACATTAAGACAATTTGTTAGTTATCTAGTCTTGAAGAATCATTCATTTATTACAATTGGACTATCACTTATATATATATGGCAAAATTAGAACATACATAATACTACTAGCAATGATATATATATATATATATATATATAAATGTATTTTCCGAGTAACCTAGTCGATAACTTGTATATATTATATCTATATGTATATATACAGCAATATGGCTTTTATTCATTTGTAAAGCAAGGGGCAATATTTTTACCCAAAAATGCAGCACAAGAATGGACTCTTTTTCATCGCTCAGAACTACTGACCCAGACATCGAAGACTTATAAATGCATCGGAACTTTTTTCGGACATCATTCATTTTTATTAAAAAAACAACTGATCATTTACTAACAACATTCTCCGATATATTGTGCACAGTCAGACTATTCACCTCTTGTGATGATCCATTCACTCGCAAACTAACTTACTTCATTACAGCTGGGGGAACCAGAAAACTGTACAAGAAGCACTGAAGTCTGAAGTGAACAAATCTAGAACCTGACATAATATGGGAGGCAGCGTAGTGAAATCAGCCTCTCGTAAAAGTAATGAAATTAAAATTTGGTGGCCATTTTCTTGCTAATTCTACCTCTGAAACCAGGCGACCCTCAACTCCTTTATTCACAAATAGCTCAACTTCAACACAAGGCAGATGGGTATTAGTTCCACAGAAAGCAAGGCAAACAAACAAGCTGTACGATGACACCAAGAACTCCACATGCCCAAAAATTGACGTGCGCGTCTGACTCCACCACGCCATGACACATATTATCGTTATCATTATGGTGCAAGTTCATATTCTTGGCCTGTAGACAGCGCAGTGCACACAAAGCGAGCTGATTAAATGTACGAAGCCCAGAAAGAAAAATTTGACAGGAGGGAGAGGGAGAAAAAATTTTTTGTTCCGTCTCTTACTAACATACATTTTTCCTCCCTTCTTTCAACATTTTTAATTTGGTCGCTTTTAAGGACAAGCAGGCTAACCCAGATGTCGGGGGTTTCCAGAAATCTTGCCCTACACCAAAAGTGGACATTGCCCTACCTATATGAGAAGTTTGGTTTTATTGGTGTGTATATTTGTTTGGTTATAAACAGAGAAAACTCTCTTTGTTTTTTTAAAGAAACTGAACAAGGGTCCAAAAACATTACCTTCCATTTTCTCAGAACAGTATTTTTCGGGATAGCCCCCTTGTGCTTAAAAGGGACTATTTCAATTTCTACAAAATATTTCTTGAACACACGCAACCAATACCACATAGATTTTATTATTAAGAAACTGCAATATATTTTAAAAAAA